TCTTTCTGCCCACTGCATTTTCCCAGGTTTGACCTCAAAGTGGTCGCTGCCTTATTTTAAACTTCAATGAAAGACAAATCATTATTATTTCTTTCTCACAAGACATCTGTTAAGAAGCAGAGCACCAGGGGAAAAAATACTAAGAAAGCTAATCAGAAAACTGGATCTGAGGAGATTGAAAATCTGCAACCCCAGTAGCTCCTGGTGCTCAGAACAAATGTCCTGAAAGGTGAATGCCCAGGACAGCTGAAGTTCAATTTTGAAGCCATGTTACTTCTTCCGTTGTTACTTTGAGATTCAAAAGGATTTATCTCAAAATATAAATTTGGGATATGTTAATTTAGTAACAATGCAAAGATAGGAAAGCACTTATTTGGAAAGATTAGTGAGTTCAGAGTCTTCTTAAGGCTTCTAGAGCTTCACTGGGGATGATTCAGTTTAATGCAGAGGAACCAGATATCAGAACCTCCTTTCAGAAGAACACCCAAACAATTCCCAACTGCTTCTTCCCACTCTGCTGGGAGGTGCCAACATTTTTTCTTAGCTTGGCAGGGGGTTCTAGCATTCCCCAATCCCCCAATGTTTAAGGCTTGACTTCAATGTCTAATTCTGCATTTGGGGTGATGGAAACAGTTTCTGCTTGTTCTTTGCCTCCTGAGCCCACTCCTAATCTTCTTCCCACCATCCATCAAAATAGCCTGGTACTTGTCTGGCCACAGACTCATCCTGCTTGGAGAACACATGGACACCCCCCCCCCCCATGTGTGAAGGGCTACCAACAGCAGATGGATCTGTTGGTGTTTAGGAGCTGGGTATCTCTGCAGCCAACACAAAGCACAGCCCAAATAAGATCACTGCTTGCTGTGATATTGTTTGCAGAGGAGAAAGAGGAAATATATTTCACAAGAGACCGAGAGAGCACCAGAATATCAATACATTGCTCACAAAGCAAGTTTAATCCATTTTTAGCCTGTAATAAACAATGAAGTCTGCAAAACCTTGACAAGAATACATTGTGCATCCTCAAGGAGGACAACGCAACAGGATATGTGGAAAACAAAAGTTTGCCCGTAGCATGAGAGGAACTCAGAGTGGAGTCTGAACATCTTCACCAGCTCATGGGACTCTGAAGGGAGTTTTGCTGCAGAATCACAAACAGATGTGAAGTATTCACTGTGTGCAGCTGGCACACACAGCCCCTCTTGCATGAGATAATGGAACTCTGTGCTGGCATGTCTGGGATGGAGTTAATTTCCTTTATGGCAGCTCATATGATCCTGTGTTTTAGGTCTGTGACCAAAACACTGCTGTTAACACATGGATGGTTTAGTTATTGCTGGACAGTGTTTGCTCACTAGCAAAGCCTCCTCTGTTTCGCTCTCTGCTCCCAGGACACAAACTGGGGAGTGGGTAAGAGGCTGGGAGGGGACACAACTAGGTGGGTGACCTGAGCCAACCAAAGAGATATTCTATGCCATAAAACATCATGCTCAGCAATAAAAAGAAAATAAATTAAAAAAAAATTAGGGGATTTTAGTTATGTGAACAATTTTTTGTCTGAGAACCAGCTGGATGTCGCTCTGCCTGCTGGGTGGGGTGATTGCCTTCATCTCACTTCTTTTGTTTTATTTTTGTTAGGTTCTCCTGCTTCAGTTGCCAACAATTTTTTTCTTGACCACTAAGTTTTCTTGGGATTTTTTGCCCTTTCCTCTTCCCCCATCTCCCTGGAGGGGAGTAAGGGGGCAGCTGTGCAGTGGTGAGTTGAATGCTGGAGTTCATCCACACCCACAGCACAGTGGAAACCTCTCTGCCCATCCTTGTGCCAGCTCTTATGTGAAAAACATGGACACTTCTCTGCTTTCTTGGTCTCTCAGTTTCATGTGATTTCTTCCTAAACTTCTAATAGAGAGTCCAAATTACTGTTTCTCATCCTCACCACCACAATATTTTTTTTGTTTGTTTTCCTAGTGCTTGTAAATAGGAGACTCTCTTTTCACCATGTGTGTTGTGAATTTCTGTTGTCTTTCATATCCTCCCCCAATAGACTAGTTTATATTTTCTTCTTGGGAAGAATATTATAGTTTTAAAAAAAAAAAAAATCTAAACATTGCTTTTAAGATGTCTGTGAATAGAGGGGTGAAAAAAGTGAGGACTGGTCATGCTAAGATTGTTAACAGCTAAAAAAAAAAAAAAATTCCTTTCTGGAAGAAGAAATAGAAATTCTTGTTCAATGGAGCTTTGCTGATTTGGGGTGAAGATCCAGGCTTTGTTCATTGTAGGGAGCAGGTGAGTTGAAATATCCAAGACTAAAAAGAAGAGACCACTGAAAAGAGAAAGCTACTGAAGTGAAATAATTTTGTTTTTAAAAATGGCATCCAGAAACCTTATCTTTGACACATAAGAACAGACACATAGCTAAATATGCTGTAACCTGCTTAGGTTTCCAAAGCAGCAAATTAAACCAGTGGACTATGCAGTGAGTGTCCATTCAGATGAGCAAAGCTCATTGAACACAACAATACTGTAAGAGAACATGTTGAATACTCAATGCACCAAATAATCCGCTTTTGATACAGAGACAGTAAAAGGTTTTGGGAAAGAGGCAGAAATAGTGTATGTGTGAACTGGGGAGGGGGAGAAGAGAGAAAACATTCTGGGGCAGGAAAATGATAAGCAAAACTACTGTCCTTGCTTTGTTTTGTTTTCCTGTAATTATATTTTTATTATATTCATAGCAATTCTTTTTTTCCAGGCAGGACACCTGCCCCAGCGGTTTGTTGCCTTGGACTTTCTGGAAGAAGGTGTTACTCTGTAGAGAGTGTTTATCATAGAATCCTAAAATCACAGAATATCCTGAGTTTGAAGGGACCCACAAGGATCATCAAATCCAGTTCCTGGCCCTGCATAGGACAGCCCAGCAGTCCCACCATGTGACTGAGAACATTGTCCTAGCATTTCTTGAGCTCTGTCAGTCTTGGTGTTGTGCTTGCTGCCTTGGGGAGCCTGTTCAATGCCCAACCACCCTCTGGGGGAAGAATCTTTTCCTAATATCCAACCTAAACCTCCCCTGACCCAGCTCCATGCCATTCCCTCGAGTAATGAGTGGTTCTCTAGGTCTGTGAGACCCCTGGGTCCCTGGAGAGTATCATCTCACCTCTTTTCTCTCTTTCTCCCTCTTCACAGGAACATGAAATATCCTGCTGGGTGGTGCCAGATCCTGCTGGACCAAATCACACCAGCCTTTCCTGGTGCAGTGAGGAAAGACACCCAGTATTGTTGCATTAGCTGAATTGGCAAATCCCACTGACTGCAGTGAGTGTTCATGGAGCCTTTGCTTTTATTTCAAACAACCTTATGTAGGACAGGAGGATTCCTCTTCCCTTTCTGGTAAATGCCAAGAGCATCAATGAAAAAAAAAAACCCCACACTAGTGATAACTCCAAACACTGTTTATTTGCTTAAATAAGCGCTTTGCCCCTGTTTATCTGTTCTGTATAAGGCCTGATCCCTCAATCTTCCCTGCTGTGGTGTAAGCCCTTCCTCTGCAGCCTTGTACCAGGGGGATCTGTGAGAACCGTTTCAGCCTTTTATTTGAGCCAGTGTGACAGAATCCAGGGTGGCTTACCAGGAAGTGTGATGTTCAGCTTTGTGGCTGAACAGTCACTTGGAGAAAAGTACAACTCAGGAGCTCTGGGCACCCTGTAAGTGAGATAAGCTAAGCCCCAGCCCTATCGGAGCAGCCCCGAGTTTAAGGAAACAGCTTCTAATTCTGCTTAGGAAAGATTTGCTGAAGATTTAGCTTAAGACAATGTTCTGTAGCCACAGGGGATGGGGGAGAGAAGGACAGATTGTCCTTGCAGGCCAGAAGAGGGGGATGGAAGGAGGGCGTCTCCCAGTGCACTCCTTGCCCCACATACCCTGCAAGAGGTGACTGATTTTTTTCCCTCTGTCAGCCCAGCCCAGCCCAACCCAGCCCTGAATGACTTTTCTTAGAGGTCTCTGCCTGGAATCCTCACATCACGGCGCTGATCAACGCTCTCCCTACACGGGTTGCCTTTGCTGAGCTGCCGAGATCTGTCTGGGTGGGTCACGCCCTTGAGGCATCCCCATCTCCATTCCCTTCCAAAACCTTCCCCGAGCTCAGCGGTCGGACTTTGCCAGGCGGGTCCAGCCGGGGTCGGGAGGCACTGGGAGCTCTGCCCGCTGCCTTCCAGGGAAGCTCCACTTGGCTCATCCCTCCGAGCCGCTGCCGAGGACGCGGTGAGGGTCTCCGAATCCTCGAGCCCCCCGAACCCCCCGAACCCCCTTCCCCGTCCCCGCCCGTCCTCCCGGCGCTGTCCGCGGTGCTGAACCTCATCCACACCGCGGGGATGCGGGAACGGCTCCCCCCCAGCTCCCCAGGGAAGGGTGGGACCCCCCCGGTGTGGAGTCAGGATGGGCACCATCCTGCTCCCCTCGCCCCAGCCGATGGAGCCCCGCGCTGTCTGGCTCCGGGGAGTTGAAAATAGAAGGCGTGTGAGGGGAATAAAAAAATAAAAAAAAAATAAATGGATGAGAGCTGCCTGGAATGGCAACTGGTCCCGCTGCAGCCTCCTCCCCAAATCCCCTCGGATCTGCCCTCAGCAGACAAGTTTAGATCCCCCCTCAGCCCCGTCCGGCGGCCCTCCCTGGGCTCATCCTCCCTTCCCACGGCCCAGGCTCCGTCTGGCCGGAGCTTAAGTCCCTCCTTTTTGCCCCCAGCCCCTCCCCTTCTCTAATTATGTACAAAACACTTCTTAGAATAAAATGGCCAGGCTGGGGCTCCTCCCTGCTTTCCTCTTCCCCATTCATCCTCTCCAGCCCGCTCCAAGCCCCTCCCTCTGTGGCAAGCCCAGCCTCTCGCTTCCCTCCTGGAGCCCTTTTCATTTTTATTTCTAACCCCCTCTCCATTCTCCCTGCTGCCTCTGCTCCTTCCCCCGATGGCTACCAACTGAGCAGCAAAAGAGAGGGGGGGAGCACAGGAAGGGGAAAAAAAAAAAAAAAAAAAAAAAGGCAAAAAAAAGGAAAAGGAAGAAGGGGAGAAAAGGATTTTTTTTTTTTTTTTTTTTTGCCTCTGCCCTTAATGCCCGCGATCTGGATCAAGGAAGGGGATTTTCTGTCTGAGCATGAAAAGGACTGCTAGAGCCCCAGGATTTTCACGCCTGCAGCATCAGCCCCGCACCCAGTATGCGAGCTGGACAGAGAAGCTCTCCCACAAGTTCCTACCGAGCCGAATAAAACCCACGGGCGACCCGATCTCCGCCAGAGAGGGACATTAAGCATCAGGTAAAGGCGAGCTCTGCGCTGCGGCTGCGGCTCTGCCCGTGCCCGGGGCCGGGCTCCCCCGTCCTGCCCGCGTTGTGTAACCGCGCCCGCGGCCCCTCCGCCCGCACCGCCCGCACCGCCCGCACCCCCGCCCCGGGCACCGGGGGCGATGGATGGAAAAGTCCCGCAGCCCCGTTAGCGGTTCTGAGTGCGTGGTGCTGAGCGAGGGGCCGGGATCCGCCGGCACTGGGAAGACTGGGAGCGCTGGTTCGTGCCGGGGCAAGGCGCAGCCCGCCGAGGATGCCCCGCCATGGGGGCTCAGCCCCCGGCTCGGCGGGGCTGGCGGAGAGGCGGGGGCGGCGGTGGGGGTGGGAGGCAGCCGGGATCCATCTGTATTCCGGAGTATCGATACATCCCGGAGCGGGGGGGGTGGGGGGGGACCGTCCCCAAGGAGATGGTGTCATCTCCACTTAATCCGCTGCTCCGCTCGCGCAAGTGACAAGCAAATCGCGGAGGAAAAAAGGAAAGTCTGTCGCCTCGAATCCCACACCGGGCTGATTGCCTCGACTTCCAGCGGGGATGGGAGACAGCGACAGAGCCGGGGGAGGGCGCCGATGGCGGGGGGCTGTGGGCAGGAGATGGGTCTCCCCCGCTCAGCTCTCAGCGCTGCTCGCGAGGCTGGTGTGGAGCATAACTTTGCCTTTTTCCAGTCCTTGGGGAATAGGGGCACGGGGGGGAGGACATCTCCACACCATTGCATCATCCCCGAGGTCCACCACAGTCTGGGACTAAAGCCCCAGAGACGATCTGAAGAGGGTTGTAGGCGTGAGAGTGTGTTTTGGTTTTGGAGAATCCCCCCGTGCTGGTACCTGCGAGTGGGGAAGGGAAGGGGGTGTCACTTCTTGGATGCAGCCTCCTCTTCCCGGAGGGAACCCAGCAGCAGATGAAACGCTGGCAGAATTGGTGTCTGAATTTAGCCGTGTGATTGACATCTGCACTAGGCAGGATGGAAGGTTCCTTCATGCTTTACTCTGGCTGCTCATCTGGATGCATAATAATAATTTGTTAATGACAGTAAAGCTGCTTTCCAAGGAGTTGTAGAGAAGTATTTGGAGGATAGTGAGAGGAGGAGGTAGTAAGTAAAGAGGTATGGATTCGATGTAAGAAATATGAAAGGTTTTTTTAAAAAAAATTCCTTATAAAGGTAAAAAATATCGATCAGCTCTGCTTGTGAGCGACAGATAGACAGACAGACTCGGACTCTCTCCCTCCCACACACCGCACAGACAAACAACCGTGCTCTCCCTCATGCATGTACACGCTAAGCACACCAAACACATGCTGGGAACTCGCACAGCCCACCCCGTGCTCACACACAGCATCTCGGGCTCGCTCTCCCATGGATGCAAACACCTATTCCAGCTCTGCGGCCCCGCAGTTCCCCCACGCTCAGACACACAGACTGGATCCACAGAAATAGCTGCATTGATTATTCTTATTATGTGAATCAAGCCTTCAGACATTCACATGAGCACACACATGCTTGTCTTCTTTGCAGAGCTAGCAGTAGGTGGTTTGCTCCTCCAGCGTAGTTTTCTCCCTTGTAGTTTGCTCCAGGCATTGATTTGGGGTTTGTCTGACTCCAAAGCCCTTTGCGACTCAGCAGAAAAGCTGCTACATTTTATGTGTCTACGGTTGTTTTACTGCTCTTTGCACGTTCCCAGGAATGATTTTCCTCCTGGAAAGAAAGGCAGACGAGCAGCAGACAGGGGAGCAGGGAGATGGCTGGGGGTGCAGTGGCAATTCCATACCCATCATGCCTTCTCTGATAAGAGCTGGAGTCTGGGAGTAAGGGAAGAGCTCTGCTGGAGCTACAGTGCTTTTTAGCAGGTGTGAGTGTGTGTGTGTGTGAGCAAAACCACACACACATCCACTGCTAAAACACATGGTGCAAGGCTCCACTTCAGTGTTACGCTGGTTCAGAGTGAAACCCTCCCATCCTCAGAGTACAGATGCTCCCTTTGCAAGCCCCTTTGATCACAGACGACTTAGTATGTGTGGGGGAGATGATGTCACTGGTGTTAGAGGTATTTAACCTCCCCCTCTGACCTTCCTCCCCTTCCCCTTTTTCCATAGGGCCTAGTCAGGATACTGTGCAATCCTCCAAGAGCAGGAATATAATGAGGCCGACTAAAGTGTGTATTAAAACTTTAGAGAGGAGGAACATATGGTGAATTGGCTTGCTTATAGGTAAAAGGTGTCCCAAAAGAGATGATGGGGGATGTGTCTGTGTTCCCTCCTCACTCACCTCCACTGTTTACTACACTGTAAGTACGTGTAAGGCTGGTGCTAAACACTATGCGGGAATGGGTCTGCCAGCAGACAATAATCATTGTTGTCTGTGTGACAGAAATAGTTCAATGCCAAACCCTCCCATTTTCACTCAGGCAGGAGCCCCAGTGCCTGCTCTGGGCTCATTGCTCGGGAAAGCACCGCAGGAACTGACTCTAGAACCGGCACATCCACGCCTGGCTCCCTGCCCACCTCCAGAAATGGATGGGGATTTTTAGACTTTACCCAGGACTCGATGTTTATAGCTGATGCAGGGACGTTGAGCAGGCAGGAAAAAATTAATCAGTACCTCTCCCCAAAAAAAAACCCCAAAAAAACAAAAACCAAAAAGCAAACAAACAAAAAAAAAACCAAACAAAAAACCCAAGCAAACAAACAAACCCAAACACAAAACAAAAAGCGCTGAAGAACAGACATGAGGGTGAAGAGCCCCCAGAGCACCCCGAGGCGCGGCGTTCGGAGATGGGAAGGCAGAGAGGGACCCCCCCCCGGGAAGGGAACACACCCCGCGCTCCGCGCCCGCTGCGCCAACGCGGCCCGAGGGCGCTGCCGCCGGACCCCAGGAGGGGGCGCTGTGGCTCCACCGAGCGCCGGGAGAGCGGGGCAGCCCCTGCCCGTACCCCTG